TATATATATATATATATATATAATATATATATAGTGTTTGAAGGCCAGTATCTCTTGCTTACACCTAGGGTTTAGGGTTTAGGGTTTGGGGGTTTAGGGAGAGAACACCTGCAGTCTTAGCGGTTCCTCTTAATCCTCGAAAACAAAAGAAATGAAGAGAAAAGAAAAACACCAGAACACCCAGCACGAGGGTTTAGGGTTTAGGGTTTAGGGTTTTCAGTAGCAGGGCCTGGGGGCGGCCGCCATTCCCTCGACGGGGTTTATAAGGGGTTTAGGTTTCTAGGGTTTAGGGTTTAGGGTTTAGGGTTCAGGCTGCTGCTGGGGTTGCTTTTGGCTGCGGCGTTTCCTCTTGCGGTGTATGTACACCTCAGCTACAAAAAGTAAAAGAGAAGAAGCTGCAGTTCATTTATTTATTTTATTTTTTTTTTTAAGTATTAAACAATAACGCCAACTAAAGTAGAAGAGAAGAGAACAACAATACATGAAATAGAAGCAGAGAAAAAAGAAAAAAAAAGAAAGATAATAAAACAGAAGAAAAAGGAAAAAAAGAAATAACAAAGTAGAAAAAAAAAAGAAGAAAAGGAAATAAAAAGAAACAAAGAAAGAGAAAAAATAAAATAAAAAAAAAATAAAAAAAGAAAAAAAGAAAAATGTGGTATCTTGAGGTGTACAGACGAAAGGAGGAAGTCTTCCTCGATTATCTGGCGCAGCTCAGGTGTACATACACCGCAGCAGCAGCACATACTTTTGTTTTTTTTCTTTTTTTTGTTTTTTGTTTTTTGCTGCTGCAGAGAAAGCAGCAAACATATATTTAATTAAGCACCAACAAACAGAAACAGTAGCAGTGACAATACCAGTAGCAGCAGCAACAGCAACAGCAGCAGCAGCAGCAGCAGCAGCAACAGCAGCAGCAGCAGCCTGAGGTGTATGCTTGAGCGGAGGGAGGCACAGCACAGTATACAGAGAAGCAGAGTTGACGATATAAACAGGAACACAATCAGCTGCTGCTGCTGCTGCTGCTGCTGCTGCTGCTGCTGTTGCTGCTGCTATGCTGTTGCTGCGTCTATAGGGAGAGAGAAGAGAAAGAAGCAGCAGAAACAGCAGCAGCAACAAAGCTGCAGGCATTCATACGAGGCTTCTTACACAGACAAAGATTCCTCAGCTTAAAGTAAGGTCCGTCAAATATATACTGCATGCAATC